TGGAAATACCTGCTGCAGTGTGGCTTTCAAACACTTCCTTTTGAAAGTTATGGTCCTTTTTAGCTTGCTGAGGCTTCTTGCTTCAGATGACTTTCTTTAACTCGGTCACCATAGTTGGGATGTGCTGTGATGGATTTGGAACATTGCAGCGTAGAATTTGAAAATTAGGGGGAAACTGCAGGAAAATAGCACACTGTGGCATTAGGGACTGAGCAGTAGAGTAGAATTATAAGAGCAGAAGTATGGATATAATAAATAAACTTATATTTGTATCAGTTTCTCTCTTTAATATAGAGTAGGTTCAGTAGTCTTAGGAAAGCAAGAGTTGGCTGTGCTGCTATTTGGCGAGCTCCTGCTATATTATTATAATATTATTCCCAATCCATTCCTAGACCACTTTTCATTTTTAAAAATCTGAATAATACAGTAATGATAAAGCATATGAATGCAATACAATAAAATATCATCAAGGCAATTTAAAAGTGGCACATCAATAACTAGGAAAAGCTTGGGGGGAAATGTGAGTTTTTAGTAAATGGCAGAGACACACTATTAGGGATGGGGAGAAATTCAATTCAAAACACTTTGCTAAAATGTGAATATTCAGCAAAATTGCACACCAAAATGTAGAGGAATGACAATGTTGATGAATTTTCATGAGGGCTTAAGAAAAGGTTGAAAACTTATGTGGGAAAGTGAACTAAATTTTAGAATAGAAAACTGAAAAACTGAAACAGAACTTAATTGATCTACCCATCTCTACACACTACTCTTGATGACTGCAATATCACGGGTTGGGGGGTGGGGGATTGGAGAGTTCATTACACAAAATAGGCACTGCCACAGAGAATGGCCGCCTCTGAATTCCACAGTTCAGCAAGACGGCAGTTCCTTCTTTTTTTTCTGCAGCTAAGTAGACAAATCTCGCAGCCATGCAGCTTAGTGGGTGACCCCTCCTCCTAACCTGCTTTGCTGTGTTTTGAAGAACACTTTCTATATATATCTAAACTTCCTTGAAATAAGGGTTGGATACAAATGTGACAAATCCATGGGACATTTTACTCTGCAGGGCTTCCCTTCCCCCCCGTTTAGTGAATTCGGTTCATCCCTTTTTTAAAGAGACAAAGGATAGGTGACTTACTTAGAAATCAATACACTCTTAAAAAATAAAATAAATCCAAGCTCTGGTTTAATGAGATTTAGCCCTTCACTTTGTAGGTTTATCAGTAACCAAGTCACAAAGATATAACAGTAAATGGGCTGGTACATTTAGTTGTAAGGCTTTCTGTGTGCGGATAATCTGATAGAAAGTGAACAGGCGAAAGCCCCTTTTGAGTGTGGTTGTATAAGGCACAAGCTTTAGTAGGTGGAGATGACCTCTTAAGAATCCCAAATGAAGCTCCAAAGCTTTGACCTGTTTTCCAGTCAATAAATCACGGCAGGGGAGTGAACCAACGGACTCCAAGGCAGTGAGGAAACTTTGGCAACATCATCATTATACTGTTTTAGGAGGCACTGAGTGTGAAATCTGGAATCAAACCAATATGAACCCACAGTTGCACACACACCCCGCCACAGGAAACCAATGCTGCAACTGCTTCTCCTCACTTCTCTGGTGGTGGGTGGAGGCATCTGTGGTGGCACTGGAGAAGTGAGAAAAAGCAGTGGCATCAGCAAGAGCTCATGCAGAGGCCTGTGAGATTTCACTGGAACCCACCACTGCCACTTCTCCATGCTTCTCTGGTGGTGGCTATGAGTGGGGTGCCCATGGGGGCGCCACCTCATCGGGATTCCAGCCACCTGAGGCAGCTGCTTCAGTCTGCCTTGTGTGTGGGCTGGCCTTGTTTCAGATCACGATCTGGAATGGAATGCCCATGAAAGCAATGGAAGGTTACTCAGGATCTTTGCTAGTTTTCCCCTCCAGATGTTTTGGACACTGACTCCCATAATCCCTGACTGTTGGCTATGCTGGTAGAAGCTGATGGGAGTTGTAGCCCCAAACATCTGGATCTGAATAGGTTGGGCAAGGCTAATCTGCGTCTTGCCTCTTCTTCCACAGACGCGTTCAAATCTTACTTTTTGCTTCTTCGTTTTCAGGAAGACAATGAGAAACAAAGTGTCTTCCAGGCTCCCTTTATAATTGACAACAGTTTTCTCTTCCACCCGATTAGTGACTTTTAATACCGAAGTCCATGTTCAGAGAAACATTTGGAAGTTCCACAGCAGCCTTAGAAGGAGAACCTAAAAATCTCAAGCACCAATGCAGTGCTTTACCTGCTGACAAAACACACCTTTTCCCAAGAGAATATGTATTTCTGGCTGAATGGGTAGCCAAAGCAGCACAGAACTGAGACACAAAATGCCAGATCCTTTAAATCTTCTCAGAATGATTCTGCTCTCTTTCTACCTTTTAAAAATTTATTTCGCTTTCACTTTTTCACTCCCTGCCCCCCGCCCCTGCCCCTCGTCTCACCAGAGTCAGCCTCCGATTTGGACTGCCTGGCTGATGGTAAATTGTTTTTTGATGGCTGACTCGGTATAACTGAACTCAATTTGCCTTTCAAAAGCAGCTAATAGTCGCATTAAAAAATCCATTTTCACTTGTGATTGAATTTGACTGGGGCTCAATCAATAAACGAATGGAGTGTTTCACACACTGTACAGAGCAGGCGTTACCACGGTAACCGTGTAAGTGAGCACGGTTGGTTTAATCTCTTTGTACTAATAGTTTTGCTGGTATTGGCCATTGGTATCAAAGCCCCACTAGAATTCAGGTCAGGCCTGCCAACCTGGTTGCTTTTCAAGGCAGGTAGATGGTTCATCTACAGCACAAGAGAACTTGGTTTTGGGAGGGAAATTGAGTGGCTGGGTTGATGCAGCCCAGTAACCAGGTATACTGGCCTTTTCTATGTAATTTATCCAGGAAAATGGGCTTCGTTGAACAAGCTTTGCCTGTATAAGCTAATATATGCTCTACTCCTGAGAAATAGGTATCTTAGAAATGGAAAATAAGAGGTATAAGATATCCTAATGCTTGCATCCCTTAAAGCTCTTTCTGAATATATACAGTAGATGGTAGCCATTTTGTTTACAGATTCATTACAATAGTAAATACTATGTTGGCACATCCCACCCCATTCCCCACTATCCTTTGGCCAAAAGAATTCCCTGATAGAGATTCCTGAATAACTCCATCTTTGTGAATTCTAGCCAACACACAGGTAACATGACAGAAACCTCTGGGAGCTGTCATCAGGAGATTAGGAGCAAAATGTCATCAATAAGCAGATATAATGCAGCTCTGTCTCTCTGTTCCATCTGAATTGGGAGAGGTGGCTGAGGTGTTAAACCAGCGTTTGGAGGTGGTGATGTGTAGGATATGAGCCAATAAATTGAAGCCAAGTCATGAAAAGATAGGGATGTTATGTGTCCTAACCTCTCACATTCAGGAGTTGCCAATACATATATATTGATAAAAGTGTCATTGGTGTCACCCCAAATTGCTGCTATGGGTACCAGAAAAAGAGGTACAAAAAAGAGCAAAAAGCAGCACTGCTGCTACTAACAATAGTAACAGCAACAGTGTGGACATACAAGTATGCCCTGATATCACATGATTTTACTGCAGGGTCATACACACTAGTCTGAACCAAACTTACATGAACATGTTGAAGGGCAGGGAGTAGGGGTGGGGGAGAATGTCAAGATCCACATAGTCTCTCTCTTGTACCTGCTATTTTCTTTCTCTCTCTCTGGACTTGATCCCTTCCCCCTTGCTGAGTGTGCTAATAATGGCTCCAACTGTTGGTCAGGGTAGGTGCTGGTTCTGTACCATCTAATCCTTGAGCAGTAGTTCTGAAGGATGAGAGTTGCAGCTGATGCTACTACCTGTGACTGAAAGAAAATGTTTAACTGTAGTTGCTTGTCGCACTGCTACGTTAAATACAGTGGTGCCTCGCAAGACGAAATTAATCCGTTCCGCGAGTGTCTTCGTCTAGCGGTTTTTTCGTCTTGTGAAGCAACCCTATTAGCGGCTTAGCGGATTAGCGCTATTAGCGGTTTAGCGGCTATTAAAGGCTTATCGGCTTATCGGCTTAGCTGCTAAAAGGCTATTAGCGGCTTAGCGGCTTAGAAAAAAGGGGGGGGGAACGGAAAAAAAATCTCAAGACTCGCAAGACATTTTCGTCTTGTGAAGCAAGCCCATAGGGAAATTCGTCCTGTGAAGCAACTCAAAAACGGAAAACCCTTTCGTCTAGCGGGTTTTCCGTCTTGCGAGGCATTTGTCTTGCGGGGCACCACTGTAATTCCTTAGCTCTTTTGGTCTATTATGCTGTTGCCCTGATGATCCTTGGGTAGGAAAGAGTCATACTGGGTAAAACAATCTCTTTTATTGGACTAATGGCAGGAGGTGGAAGAGTTTGCAAGAGATTTGGTTGGGGAGAAATCTTAGATCAGTAGAGGAAGAGTAGCTGAATTCTCAGCTATCTAGAGAACAATGCAAATACTTGCAATCACTTTCACTGTTGTGCCCCCTCCTAATCACGAAACATTTCAGCATCTTAAATAAATGCCACACAGCATGTTAACCAGCAAAGCAGCAGTCTGTGAACCTCACCACCCCCACACTGCCTAATTGATGTTTTAATCTGAATGCCAAAAGCTTTGTGAATAAGCTGCTCCTGAAGTGGCTAAAAACATCTGCATTTAGAGCCAGCCTTGATCTCCACAGATATTGAAGAGTCAGCAGCTTCCTTTGTGCTTTCCCTGACAAAGAGTTCTGTGTAAGTCAAAGAGTTTTTATACTTTTCCCTCACCCCTTGCCAGTCTGGAATAGTTGTGGGAAGCCTCCAGCTCACTAACTTAACTAGGCCTTGCACAAGTTCCAGTTTGGCCCCTGAGGCTATACTCACATACCACGTCCACTGACCGCAAACACAATTTCATAGACTCATTGGAAGGGACCCTGAGGATCATCTAGTCCAGAATGCAGAAATATGCAGTGGTTCCATACAGGGATTGAACCTGTAACCTTGGCATTACCAGCACTGCGCTCTAACCATCTGAGCTATCCAGCTTGTGTTAGGCTCCCATCCTAAAACAGAATGGCACTGACTCTTACTTGAGAGTAAGCAAAATAGCAGTACAGGCTAAGCGGCAAGCACAAGGTTCAGAAATAAAAATCCCAAGGTATGTCAGCAATGCCAAAGGAATCAGAGGCTGATCTTAACCAGAAAACTCAGATGGGGGTTGAAAACCATTGATATTTGAAATGGGCACCTAGGCAGTGGGGAAATGGCTGGTCAGCGTGGGAAAATAAGCTTGCTTGCTTTATTCCTGGACCATCGAAAACAATTTGGGCCAGCCTACCCCCAGAAGATGTTGCTTTGAATTAGCTTTTACCAACTTGGTGCCCTCCAGGTGTTTTAGACTACAACTCCCATCAGTCCCAGCCAGCCTGGAGGGCACCAGGTTGTAAATGTCTTCTTTAAATCCTCATTTTTGGTGTAGCTGCCTGTGTTTCCTTTCAAGAAAGATGTGGGCGGATGATAGGAGGGAGGAGATTGTTTGTATGTCTCTAACTCTCTTCACTTGTGGATTTTTTTCTGTTTATCACCAAGGGAAAGGAAAGCGTTCCTATTAATCTTGCAAGCCATTTCTGCCATCCCCAGGTTTCTACCTGCTGGGGACTGAGTGGGAGGAAGGGGAAATGCTTGCCTTTCATCTACCCAAGAAGAAACAAAGGCTTTTACAATTGTGCTTTGGAAATCTGCAGCACTCCTGAGGCAGCCTGGGGGTCAGGGCATTGTTTCTTGACAGGTCTAGGTCTTCTCAACACTGTAATTTCCAATGTCAATTTCTGCTCAAAACCCTTTCTTTATGCACTGACAGAAATTCACAATAGAACTGGTTAAAATGCACAAAAGTAAATCGTTGCATCTTCCTCCACTGAGCACAAATCTGCTGCAGGGAACCCTAAGTAGTCCCACCCAGCCTTCTCAGGCCGAGGGGAGATCTTCAAGCAGAGTTGAAGAGGCAGGGTTGTTCAGTGGCTAGAGTGTCAGCTGAAATTAATGTAGAATTCTCCAGCAAAGTCTCCCAGTTCAGACTGGACGCTTTGGTGAATACAACAGAGGGTGAGGTTACGTAACCCAATGTCAGCATTTCTAAATGCTGGCAAGTATGTAATTGCATTTATTCAGAGCATTAGGACAGTGCGTTATCTCTCAAGTCTTTGTAGCATCTTTACCATCAGTAAGTTGCAGCTGTTTGAGCCCCCTTTCTGAAGAAAATGACAGAACCTGGAATCAGGACTGTTCCCTCAATTTTCTGGGGCCAGAAGACCCTGTCGCTCAATGGAAGGCCTCTTTCATAGGTTAGCATCCTACCACTGCCCAGCCTGAGTCCACTTGCAGCTTCTACTCCCACCTGCTTGGTAAGGAAAAGCCTGGAGCCTGCACAGTATCACCAGCTACCAGGTCTAGAAGAGATTGCCATACACACACCAGCAGATTCCCAATTTGACTGTATCACCGCACGAATTTTAATTGTAAGCTGCTTTGGGAATCAATCTTGGCTGAAAAACAGGGCACAAACAAACACACAGAGGAAATCTGGCTGCTGCTCCTATTCAAAGTGCCAGATGAGTTGATAAAAAGGCATCTCTCTTGGGCTGCAAAATTGTTCCCTTCTTGGGTCTTTGCATGAAAGGAAGCACTACTTCAATGAAGCAGGGTGAAGTGTCGCCTTAGGTGGCTGATTTGGGAAATGATGGAGCGCGGCAGAACAAGAAACAAAGGCTTGGATCCAGTGTAGTGCTAAGTAACTCATTCCATCAGCACAAGGATTTACTAGCCCAACCCAGTTTCCCCTCTCCTTCGCCAGTGCCCCCTCAATTTGTTCCATGGCTTTCACCAACTCAATGGAGCAAACTGGGGGGACGGACAGGTTGGGCACGGGGGAGAGGGAGTTCTGTGTACTTGCACTAATGGAACAAGTGCATTGGATACTGCGCAAACAGATGTGATGCATGGACCATGGCCCGCAATAAAATTCTTCAGCAAAAGCCACACTGAAGGGTATGGGAGCTGTGCACAGTGGGGTGCAGTACACCCACACAGCTCATTTCAATTTCCATGACGTTTGCCCTGTAGAACTTCCAGGTTGTGGGCCTAAGGCTGCTTAAGGAATCTGATCCTTGCGAATTCTAACACAAACTGACCTGATCCACAGCTCCCGGTCTAGTGTGAAGACTGAATCTTACTGCAGTCCCCTGCCCCACCTGCCTGGGAGTAAGTTCCACTGGATCCAATAGGGCATGCATCTCCATAGACATGGATTAGCAGTCCACTAGCTTTCACAGTGCTCAAATCTTCCTGCAAAATTTTCTTTCCTGGAAAAGACACAACAAACACTTAGAGATGTTTATTTTGAGACAAAACACCCAGAAGTGCATCGTTTGAGAGAAAATGCATTTAAAATGCTGTTTTGCTCAGCATTTTTCACTTCCCATGGGTATCTGGCTGGCCACTGTGAGAACAGGATACTGGGCCAGATAAATAAATCAAGCTGACCTAGACTAAACTGTGGCATAGTTGGCCTCTTGGTGAACAAGTAGTTGTGATCCCTACAATTTTGTATGTGATAGTGCTTAAAACAGAGTCTAGGACTAGGATCTGGGAGACCAGGGTTCAATCCCACTTGGTCAAAAAGCTCATTGGGGGACCTTGTGCCAGTCTCTCTCTTAGCCTCGCCTACCTCACAGGGTTGTTGTGAGGATGAAATGAGGCCGGGGAAAACATGTATGCTGCCATTTTGAGCTCCTTGGATGAAAGGTGGGATAGAAATATAATAAACAAACAAATAACCAAAGCAGAGTTGTACAGTCGTACCTTGGATCCCTAACGCCTAGCGAGTCAAACGTTTTGGCTTACACCGCAAACCTGGAAGTGAGTGTTCCGGTTTTCAAACGTTCTTTGGAACACAAAAGTCCGATACAACTTCGGAGCTTCCTGCAGCCAATCAGAAGCTGTGCCTTGGTTTCTGAACATTTTGGAAGTGGAACAGACTTTCAGAACAGATTCCGTTCAACTTCCGAGGTACCACCATCTAATTACCATACTGCAGAAGGATGGGCATTATGTTATCTGTCCTGATGCTGCAGACGTACTTCTGTGGTTTGAGGCTTTCTGCAGGTTGGCTGCAATCACCCACTAATTGGGGTGAATGTTCTCAGTGTCCTTATCAGGGCAGAGGAAGCTGCCTTATACAGAGTCAGGCAAGTCATCTGTCTATCCAGCTGTCTACACTGACTTGACTTGCAGTGGCTCTCCAGGTTTTTGAAGAGGGGTCTTTCCTAGTCCTACCTGGCGATACCTGGAACTTTTTGCAGGCAAAGCATGTGCTCTGTCACCAAGCAACAGCCTTCCTTCAAATCCACAGTTTGATCACTTGGGCTAATATGGACCAGTTCTCAGGACTAGCTTGCTGCCATCTGCCAATTCAAATCCACACAGGGTGAAAGCTGCCGTTCAGACTGAAATGAGCTCCCAAGTGTTTTCCGGAAGCAACCCTTGAAGCGTGGCTTGAATATCTTATGTGCACATTTCCTGCAGTTTATGTATTGCATTTATGTAAATGATGCAACTGTTCAGTGGTTGTTGGGCTCTGTAATATTTTCAATTTTGTATACCATGTTGTTTATTTCAAGGGTTAAGATGAAGGGCAATAGAAACCACACGCACCCTCATATAATTGCATGTATGCAAATGTAATGTGCGCATGGTATCTAATGGCATTAGCAAATTGATGGGAACAAAAATTCTATTTGCTGACTTGTACCAAGAGTTACACTTGGTAACTTGTCCAGAATTATAAACATTGTTGCACATATGAACTGGGGGAAGCCACTGGGCCACCCTATGGTCCTGTCACCACCCCCCTTGGCTCCTACCTCCACTGCTGGAACCACGGCATCTGAAAGAAAGTGAAAATGTATCCAGTCAGCCCTGCAGGATATTATGAATGGGGCTGTCTTTAGGAGTGTTGCTACAACAATATCCCATCACATGTTGATGGAGGGAGTGGGTGTGTACCCACCACAAGCCACACATAGGGCCAGGCTGTGAAAGGCTCTACATGCATGATGCTCACCCCCATGTAGAGCACCTCCACACAAGAGGAGGGAATCCCGTAGCCACCTTCTGGAGCAGCAAAAAATGAACTTGTACCACCACATAGAAGATGGAGCAAGCTTGTTTTCTGCTGCTCTAGAGGGTAGGACCTGAACCATTGGATTCAAATTACAATAAATGAGATTCCAGCTTAACATTACGAACAACTTTCTGAGGGTAAGAGCTCTTTGACAGTGGAACCACCTCAGAAGGTGGTGAACTCTCTTTCACTGGAGGTTTTTAAACAGTGGTTGGCTGGCCATCTGTTAGGGATTCTTTAGCTATGATTCCTGCATTGCAAGGGGCTGTATTAGATAATCCTTGGGAGTCCTTTCAACTCCACACTTCTATGATTCTAGGTGTGACCCCATCAATATATAAGGGTTTTTGAATGTATACCACCATGTCGCCTTAACCATCAAGGACAAGTTACTGTTTAAGGCTAGATGGAAGAATTATATTCATTTGTTTATTGGCTACATTTCTATCCCACCCTTCCTCCAAAAGGAGCCCAGCTTCATAGGTGGCACTCGCTGAAGTTAGGCTGGGTGCAAATGCAAGGCAGCGCTCCGAAAGCATCATCAGGTGGGACACCCTTGAGGGCACCCTTTGCACCAGCAAATAATATTGGTCCTATGAGAAGAAAGGGACTTCTGAACCAATTCAGCAGCCAACTGCAAGAGAACATGTGCTTACAGAATCTTGACAGATGAGTTGTATGCTTTTATGCCTTGTTGGCTGTATGATTAATCCAGGCGCACTCTCTCCCCACGCTACCTCTGCCCCCACCGCATTGAGGGACATCTTCATGAGTTAGTCAACATTTTTTTGTGAAATTAAATTAAAAATACAATTAACTTGAAGAGAATTCAAGGGCAATGCAGGGTTGAGCTGGCATGGT